CAAGGACACAGTGTGGAGGTGGTGGAACCAAAACTATTCAGACTCCAATATGGATTCAGAGTGTAGCTACAACATAAAATGTGAAAAAGTTGTTTCTGAGAAACGTTTTAGTGATTGACAGTGTTTTGTAAATATTAAATATGTAAAAAATGTTATTTTTTTCCAAAAATTGTTGTGTTGTGTGAAGACTAACATTTTCGAGTGACAATGCTAAACTGCAAACAATCTATTATAGCTTGGTAGCAAAAAAAAATCAAAAATAAAAAAGTTTGATTGCTTTAGTGTCCCAAGTTGTTAAAATCATGGTTGTACAATGAAGAGAAAATGTTCAAAATTAAGCAACAAGATTACACACCTCTGCAACTCAAGCAAAACTTGGGAATCCCTAACACAGTGAAATCCTACATTTAGCATAACGAGTGAGTGCTCCACTGCTTTTCTTTAATCAGCTGCAGCTATTTAAATAGACCAGTACTTTTCCTGCAATTATATTTCTCAAAATTTTTGGACAGTCTTTTTTTTACCAGAAGACGAAAAAAAAAAAGGATAACAAGAAAACCTCTGTGCATACCTCTATCTCACCTTTACCATCAAGGCGGCAGGTTGTTTTTTTTAGCATAAATGTAAATGCAGGGAAAGTTAACATTTTTAAAGCAGATCGAATCACATGCTTCAAAAAGAAACAGTAATAGTTTCTAAAACATAACACAGCATTTTCATATAGTGCCATGCACCAATGCACAACACATTGTTGTCTTCTGTCAAATAACAATGTAATAAAAATGATAAGTGGAGGACAGGAAAGCTTGGTCAACTTTTCTTCTCCAAACGGCTCACAGACACGTACATAACGTTCACAGTATTGGGCCCAGAAGTGCTTTTTGTATGTATGAGAGTGAGCTCTGATCTGCAGAGCTAATGGAAGAGAACCTCAGCAGTGGTGTGGCACGTCCATGACCTTGACCATGACCAAGTGTGCGCTCTTACAGAAATAGACTTTTCAAGCTCTAATTACTCTGCCAGTGTGAACTTGAGCAAACTACAAAGATACATCCAGATTCACTTTGGTGATACAGTAGCTCATTAATCCAGCTAAAATGAAATCTCCCCAGGAAACATTTCTGCTGATGTGCTGCTTCTTTGAGACTGGCATTTATCCAGGAGTAGATGTGATAAGGTTGCTGATTGGCATTAGAGATGTAAATATAAAATAGCTTAATAACACATCATGTATTTTTTTTGTGAACAATGTTCTGTTCAACAATGATGACATATAAAGGTCATTAGTTGAGTTGTTCCACTGAAACTTTCTTTCATGTGAGTCACAGCAGGAAGGCATCACGTCAGCTACAACATGCTATTCACTGTCAGAGTTTCACTGTTTCAGCTAACCATGGATTACACTGCAGGCACAGTATGTGCGGCATGTGGTGAGTGGGAGCAGCAAGAAGATTCTGGGATCAGCACTAAGCGATGTGCTTGGATACAGACAACTTTTTTATTAGTATTATTATGTTCTCAAACCCCCTGCAAATAGTCCTCTGAGATTCTTGATCATTTGGTTTTCTGTTCAGTTTGTGTTCGATAATGAACAACACCATAAATTAGAAATAGAAAACCCCATTTAGTTGAGATTATATGGCTTTACTGGTATTCTACAGAGATGCAAACAGAGCTAAGGTGTTACAGACCAGAGGCCTATTGCACAAATCTTGGATAAGGGATTAAGCTGGGATTTTGGTGTAAACCTGTATGAATTAATCCTTGAATTGGTTGCATGATAGAGGAAACACTTATGTTTCTATGGTAACAAGTGCTCTGAAACTAACCTGGTCCGACCAGGTTTAAAGTGAAGCTTATTTAAGCAGAAAATCACTTTACTGCAGAAAAAAAATGTTCCTCCAACCAAGCTTTACAGTCTTATTTCAGCTAAAATGTTTTTTTATCTTGTTTTAAGACTGATATACTAAACAAGATCAGAATATGTTGGATTATTAATTTTGTTAATCTGAAAAGCTTTCTTTATTTCAAGAAGTCTTACTAAGTGCAGCTGTCAAACTGCAGATTTAATTAATTATTAACTTATTTTTGGAAGCCTATTTTTTGCAGTCTGATCAGAAATCAGTGTTTCATACATTATTATTATTATTTCCTTTGCATTAAAATATCCATCCATCCATTTTCTGTACACGCTTCTTCCTTTTCAGGGTTGCGTGGGTCACTGGTGCCCATATCCAGCAGTCACAGTGCGCGGGGCGGAGTACACCCTGGACAGGTCAGGTCACAAATCCATCACAGGGCCAAATTGATCAAAAAAAATGCATTAAAATATTACAGAGTAAATATATTTTGTTTATTTATCAGATTATCTGTAAAAAGAATTTAAAAAGACTTAACCTCAGCGATGCCTTTAAAATAATATGCCAAGTGCCCCTCTTCTTTATGCTTGCTGCAGCTCCACCCCCCCACCC